GAGCGCAGCCTGGAGCGGCACTGAGCAGCCAAGGGCTGACTCTGCCCCTCGCAAGCATCCTTGTCCCGACTCACCAGTGCAGGTTTGGGAGCTGCTGATCCCTGCAGGTACCACGGCGGGGAAAAGCCACCTCCCAAAACCAGCCAGCTGCCCGGCTGTTGGAGCATGAAATGTGGAGGCGAGCTGATAGGGGCAAACAAAGAGCTCTCTGTGAGACTGCTCAGGGCATCTGCAGCCTCCCCAGGTACGAGCCACGGTAGCTGCAGGGAGCATTTTAGCCCAGGAAGGCAGCTGAAAAAACAACATTTTGACCGCAGCCTGGGAATTCACATTTGCTCTTTAAAAGATGTTTTTAGCAGAGGTTGGGTTTCTTTCTCTCCTTCCCTGCTTGGAGGAATTGCACAGCTGGCACTTATTTATTATGGTTCATATATAAAGCCCTGTTTTTCTTCTGCCCGGTGATGTTTCACGGCTACTTTCTGCGCTGCCAGAGCAATGAGCTTGCTCCAAGGCTGTCACCAAAAGGGAGAGGTTTCCGGTGAGGAGCATTCCCTGCCCACAAGGAGGGTGGTGGGCCGCCATCGCCTTCTCCACCCGCCACACCAGCCCTCCTCCCTTGCCAGCTTTGCAGGTCTCTCCTCGGTGCCCAAGCTCTCTCCTTGGTTAGGGAGATGATTCACGCTCCCAACCTCTTCCCGGGAAATAGGACTCTTCCACCATCCCTGTCCCCAGGCCCATGGCAGAAGCACCCCGGGTCCAGCCCACCCCCCAGCACCTTCAGTGGTGCCTATGGTGCTGGGAAGGCACCAGGCAACCCTGAGGATTTTCTTATGGCTCCCAGGGCCTGTAGGCAAGAAGGGAAAGGCTGGTGGTGGCCATGCTTGGTCCTTGTACCAAGCTGGGATGGTATTCCTCAACTTTCGAGGCCTCTGATGGATGAATTGCCAGTTTAGCTCTGAATAGGGTGAATTTTGCAACCTCTTTTTTGTCATTCTTTCAATTACAGTAATTCCTATGTAATTTTTTCCCTTTTTTTGTTTTTTTTTGTTATTGTCAGCATCATACTCTGCTGAGGAAGAAATCTGAAAGAAAAGAAGTGAAGGAAACCACTTCAAGCATTTTGTAATATAAAATTACAACCAAAGGGAGAGAACACCCTTCTCCTTGGCAGCTCCCAGTACTGGTTTGGACCAAGCAGCCAGTTGGTGAGTTGGGAAGAAGTACAAGCTGTTTCTCAAGGCTCAACATCGACTAGGCATATCCATATCCAGACTGGGAGTCACCATGGGCCTTTGAACAAGTCACCTTTTCCTTTCACATCTTACCTGACTCCTCACATTCCAGCTCATTCAAGTGGAAGAGCAGGCTGTGCTCGTTATGCACAACTGGGCTCCATCAAGGCTAAAGCCCAGAAATGCCATATTGAAGCAATAGCCAGTAGTGAACTCTTCCAGAAGAGGAGGAGAAGACTATATCGCATCCTCCCACCCACCTTTGCCTCCATCCCAGATTTTGCTGGTGTGACAGATCCATCCTTCTGCCACTGATGGCCTCCTTGCTCATCATGCCAATGCGGCTTCACAAGGCTGCATCCTTGGGGAGGTACCTGGCTTTTCAGCAGCCAAAACCCAGCAATCAGAGCCCATCGTGGCATCACAGACTCTACCAAAGAGCCTCGGCATTTCCCTGGGGACCCAAAAAAACAACATGAGAAGCTCAGAGGAAATTAGTCGAGTTGAAAGCTGGAGGCTTTCCTTCCAAAGCTTAAGAATTAATTTATCATGTGGGTGTAGTTTCCTTAACACTCTTTGAGATGCCTGGCACACATTTCTGGTAAGACCTCTTTACTTACAGAGTAACCACTGGCCATTTAATTACATGTAAATTACCGTATAGGGATAAGATGATTACATGATTAGCAGTGGGATAACGAAGCCTGGAAAGTACAAAGTAATTGGCAGCTAAATACAGTGTAATTTTTTATTCCTTACCTCAAAATGCAATTTACTCAGTCATTAATCTTGGACAACTGCATATTCTGAAGGAACAGCATGTGATTTACTGAGCAAGGCAACATTCGAGTAATTCCTGGGGGGGGCTCCACGAAGACAAAAAAACTTTGCGTATAACTTGAGGTCGCAGCCATGCCCACAGAATGGTTACATGGTGCCTTTGTCTCCTTCTGCCCGCAGAAGTGGCCGATACCCAGAGCAAGCCCCCAGAGTAGCACAGCATCGTGTTTTGACCGTGTCTAACCCAACATTTATGGAACTCTGTTGTTGCAAGTAGAAACAGTAAAAGCAGAGACAGCCAAAGGAAGGAAGCTGTGCTGTAGCCAGCCCTGGGATAACCGCAGCAGACATCATCCCCCAGGTCCCACCTGACACGGGACAGCTAGGTGGGAGCATCCTGAGGAGGGGTTTTACTAATCCTACTCACTTTCTGTGCCTTTGCGAAGTGCCCCTAGATCTCTGGTGCACCGGAGGCCGCTGAGACTGCTGGCCACATGTTGGCAATGCCACTGCTGCAGCCCGATGAGCTGCTGCTGGTGTGGCAATCTGGAGACACCTCCTCGGTTCAGTCCCAGGACCTGGCCATGCTGCTCCCTGAGGTGGCCATGACTCACCAGCCACACAGAGGAGACCTTTCTGCTGGTCTTCTCGAATACAGTCTCTTTATTTCTCTGGAGCTGACTTCCCCATCTTGTTCCCATTCCGCAAAGCATCCAGCATCCTCCCCTCCTTCGCTGAGGCTGGGACACGGCCCCACACCTCCCTCAGGACGGAAGTCCCCCACCAACCCCATCCACGTGGGAACAGGGGGAGCTCCACCTCCCCAGCACCCCAGCACCCTTCTGGATTCCCAAGGTCGCTTCTAAATCTGCCTCGACAGGAAAGCGACCCCAGGAGAGCATCTCCCTTGGGAATGGGTTGGGTGGGAAAGACCTGGGGGACCTGGACGGTTTCATAGCGGAGAAACATGCAGCCCCAGACACAGCAGACTCAAGCTCAGCTCATCACTGCCTAACAGCCTTCCCCATCGGGACGGCGAATCTCCTCTGGTACACCAGAAATAAATAGGAACCAAACTCGTGGGCATCAGGAAGAAAGAAACAAACAAATAAATAAAAAACCACCCCAAAACCCAAAAAAAAAAAAAGGTGGGCAGGTCCCTTGCACTTCAGAGCACATGGTATTTATTAAACATAAATTGGCACACAAGAATAGGAAAGTGTAGCTAGGTAGGGATTATTATATTCTTCTTAGCTACACGGCGTTGGATACCTGTCCGTCATCCCTCCCACGCCCATACTGGCATTGCCACACATTCACACCCACATTCTTGGTTTCTGATGCATAGGTGTACCTCTTGTGTTAATTAAAATTAAGTTTAATTAAAAATATATGTAAATTATATAGAGTGTGCACAGCTTGGAGGGAAAAAAAAAGAACAAAAGAAAGCAAACTTCCATTTCAATAAAAATTTTAACCACTTTGAATCAGCTGCTCTGCTGGCTCTGTGACAAACTTTGAGTTCTTTGCACTCCCACATATAAATAAATAGTATCAGGAAATTTTACACCTGAAAAATTCTGCAGTGGACATTTTTACTTACACACATTTGCTTTTTCTTCTCTTCTTGTCTCCCCCACTCCCAGCCTCTCGTGGTCTTTTGCTGCTCCTTTTAAACACATTTACTTAACATCTCACTTAACACACCCAGACCAGTACCCCTTTTTCTTTTTTTTTTTATTTTTGAGAGGAAGAGGAAGAACGCCCGATAAAACGAAAGCCTGGGATTGCAAAGAAGCGTCAGTGTCATTTTTATGAGCAAACTTTTTCCTTTCGTTGCCTGCATCCTCACCCCCC